ATATATATATATATATATATATTGCTATTATTGTTCTTGGTAGTAAAGCATTAGGCCAATTGGTATAGCATAAAAAGTTGCTAAAATTGAAGTAATTTTAATCACGCATTTGATGTGATTCACATCACATTATCAACTATTTAATCATATATTTTATTAACTTTTATTAAAATTCATTAAAAATTTCATCAAACAAACCCTAGTTGTTACAACGTACCTCACTCTAACAACACACTTCATTATTCGTACCAAATATAAAACAATTAAGCTGATATGCTGTCCAGCAAAATGAGGATTGTAGATAGAATTAAACCAAATGTACAGGGAACTCCTACACCCTCTCACATGCACGGGACCCATCTCAATAAAAAAGTAAAAAAAATCACCCACCCCTCCGATGTGTGAGTCATCGATGGGGGTTCCCTGTAGATGAAGCATGATTCCTATAGATAGGCATGCTTCACACTTACTGTACATGTCAAGTCAAAATCTAATCCGTAGTCCACTGATAATTTGTGGACTAAGACTCTGCCTAACTCTATTTGTCCCCTACACACACTTTTATAACGTTGTATAGTACGTAACATACGTGGGATAATATGAATGTTTAAAAACTGCCGCAATTTGAGTTTAAATTCAAATGGCCACAGTCATTGCGTAAACAACCAAAAACCAATTCAACCCTATTGAGGTGTGGTTTGGTGCCGTAAGCATAAGGTTAATATATAGCTTCATTTTTTGACAGGAATTTTATTTTCAGTTTAGATACAAAATATTTTATTTTAATTGTCAACTTGTGCGCTCTTTCAATCTTCAATTGGATTTTTCTAAGAAAAATTTGTGTATATACAATTTAGAGATCAAGTTCCACCGCAATAGTTTGGTCAAACTTGGATGTCTGCATAGTCCTGTTTAATTTAGCTAAAAATCAAAATTTTAGTAAATTTTAATGAAAGTTGATAAAATGTGTAATTGAAAATTTGATAAACGTATGTATGATAAAAATAAATTAAAGGAAAAATAAGATCAAACAAGAGCTTAATAAATGCATTTGAGGTTCGAGAGCAATTTATTATGCATTAAATATCATTCTTTTCTAGGATGTTACAATAATATAGAGTTAAATTTATGAATATATTACTTGTAGAATGCACGTTGAACGATTACATGTAGTTTTCTAGGAATAACATTCTACATGTCTGATGTCACTAAACTCTTAGCAAAATTTTGCACTGATCATCAAAACTTAATTTTTATTCTACAATAGCCACTCAACTTATACTTTTTTTAGAATTTGGTCACAGCTTCGGAGCTTTAGTTTGATCATTTCGGGTCTGTTTGATTCTCATTATTGTAGAATGAGAACGAAAAATATAGCCGTTATTGGACCCCACACAAGAGATATAAATTCAAAATTGATGGCTTGATGTGATGAATAACTATCATATTTTTCATTTTTATGGATGAAAAATTGGAAACAAATTGACTTGACAATTTTGAAGACGAATAACTACTAGACTACTATCCCAAATTTTCCATTTGTCAAATTTAAAAAAATGCGATAATAGAATTGTGAATAACAACAAAGTTTAAGAAGAATGAGCAATTTAAAATATACTAAATAAATTTAGTTACCAACAAAAAAAAAAAAATTGGTTACTGTTAGCAATTTACATAACTAAAAATATATCTGCATGTCAATTGGCTAGGTGGGCCACTAGACTGGTCGGTTCGAATCATGTCCACGACACTGAAGCTAAAATTTCTAGACATTTGATGTGAGAAAATGAGATCAGAATTTCGGTCGACTTCACCAGATTCAAGTCGAGACTAGTCGGCTCTAATCTTGCTCATTCGATAGAAAGTCGAATTTCTAGACATGTGATGTGAGAAAAAGAGATTAGAATTTTGGCCGACTTAACAAGATTCGAGTCGGCCAATCCAACTCTCGACGCGACCATCTGGCTTGCAGGATAACCCAAGAACGTGAAAATAATTCTGAGGTAGACTGGGAAAGTACCCGAGAGGGACGACAGCTACATATGGATGCAGGTGAGCCATAGGGAACCTCGCACGTGGCAAGTCATGTGTCGGCTATGGTCAAAAGCCGGTGCCAGTGGGGACGCGTGTATAGCCCGATCGGTCCAAGTAGCTCAAGTTTGAAACATTGACTGCTGCTCAAACAAGGACCTTTGCGACTTTACTGTTAATCGTCGTTGACTTTTGCTCTATCTCCCAACAACTTGTTCTTCACACCTCAAAAGCACACACATTTCAAAACCTAATTAAGGTTTTAATTATTATAATGTGGTATGTAATTTTGGCTTAAACTAATGATTTTGGTGAATTGCTACAATCAATTTAGAAATTTTATAAACAATTTATATTCTAGGTTGTCTGTATGTTGGACCAATGTTGTGACCGATACAAAACATTCGATTGAGTCTGTTCAACTTTATCAATTTTATTAATTAAAATGCACACAAGTGGCTAGTTTCAAATTTTAAAAATACATCAATATTTTTCTTACTTTTTCCAAAATGAAAGTTTTAGCTTAGATTTTGGTGGTCGCTAATGACAATTTTAGCAAACTATCTGTTTATTTAAAATATGTCTTCAACCAACCTTATTTTGTATATATTGAATTTATTTTTATCGCTTGTTATTATGTCAAACCAGATCAATTTTAAGTAATCTACATTTTTTTCAATAAATTACAAAAACACATAATTTTTAAATTGTAATAAATTCTGATCCCATATTATCTATCTAGTTTCCAAATGTTTCTTGAAAATATTAAATATTTCATTATTTCTTTACCAAAACAGAATAATTCAATTTTTGAAAACAAAGAAATTAGCGCAGAAGATGTTGTCAAATAAAGGTTTTGTGGCAGATGAAACCATTCTCTTGTGAACTCATATTTGTCAAACTTCAATACAATGTGGGGTCCCCAGCTTTATAAAATCAAAATCCTCTTGTCAAATATATAATAAAGACAGTGAAGCTCCTGTCAAAACCTATTATTCATTTTCTTCTACTGATCTTCCTCCTCCTCCATCCATGGCTGAAGAATACAGAGATCTGTACTGCCACCAACCATTTTACAACGATCGTTATGGCTCAGGTTCGAACGGGTTTACGTTCTCAGGCAGCAGTTCTTCTGCATATACTCAGGATGCTTCCCTTACAGCAAATTCTTCATTTCACAATCTACAAATGCTTGATCCTCCATACATGACCTTCACCGAGATTTTGCAAGGATCAAACGATAACAACGCACTTGCTGGAGCTTTCGGTTTGTCGAGGACGTCGTCTTCTGAGGCATTTTCTAGAGTGAAGGATGAGCCGAAATCAGTAGTAGTAGGAGCTGGAGATTATGTGGGTGGTAGTGAAACTCCAGCTACACCTAATTCTTCGATCTCTTCCTCCTCTACTGAGGCAGTTGGCAATGAAGATTCGAGCAAGAATCAGAAAGAAAACCCAATGAAAGAAGCCATGGAAGATGGAGAAGACGCCTCTAAGAAAGAGTAGGTTTATATTTACTTTTCTACAACCAATTGTAAGAATCAAAATGCGTGAAATTTCTTCTGTAGTAAGTTAAACTACTATTGTGACACTGTTATCGCTAGAGTAAAAACGACTCTATGGTCTAATCTCATTAACATCGAATATTTTGTATATCACCTGTGTTTAACTTTGATGCTTAAATGTATCTCAGGACTATAACGAAGAAGAAAGGGGAGAAGAAGCAAAAACAGCCACGATTTGCTTTCATGACAAAGAGCGAGGTAGATCATCTCGAAGATGGATATAGATGGAGAAAATATGGACAGAAGGCCGTGAAGAATAGCCCTTATCCAAGGTTCTATTAATTTTTATTGATTTTACTTGTAGTATGAATGCTCTTCTAGATAGTCAAAAATGTTCTCTTCTTGGTCCAATGTAAATACAACACAAGGATATGTGAATTTACCCCCAAGAAATGAGGTTTCTTCTACAAGAGTTTTTCGTTAACAAAAATTTCTTTCAAATCCAAATTCAAAATTGTGAGAGACCCTATATTATTGAAAGGGTTAAGGTCTCTCACCGGAAAAAAATGGATCAAAATAATGAGGAAAAGAGGTAAGCTGGATTTTTGGCGACTATCCAAGAATTTCAAATGCATGAATCAAGGGTTTCATACTCTAAAACTTCTCAAATTTTATCAATTGTTAGAATTTTAATTCTCTGGAAGAAATCTCGAACTGTCTGGGTAAGGATATTATAATGGAGAAATTTAAGATGAATGAAAACCTAAATATGTAGTCTCTATATTTCATGTATTTCTTTCGTTTCCCTTTATTTCCCTGAAACACCATGGAATAATTGTCTTGTGACTGAAACAAACTTATATCCCACTGCAGGAGCTACTACCGGTGCACGACTCAAAAATGCCCGGTTAAGAAACGCATTGAGAGATCGTATCAAGATCCTTCAATCGTCATCACGACATACGAAGGACAACATAATCATCATGTTCCGGCAACTCTCCGAGGAAATGTAGCCGGAATGTTGTCTCCTTCAATGCTTGCACCATCATTATCACTGCAAGATGGACCTATGTTTCCTCGAGAACTGTTACTTCAGATCCCTCACATGTACAACTACGGAGCAGCTGGAAGTACAAGTAATGTGTATCAGCAAAATTTTACACCATTTGAGCAGCTTCAACTTCCTGACTACGGGTTATTACACGACATAATTCCCTCTGCTTTTCACTTTCCGAAGCAAGAGAACTGAAACACTACGAATTCTAACTTCTCTTTATATCTTTATTTATGAATAGCTATAGCAGACTATATCTATCTTTCCTTCTAATTCCCCCACCCTATGCTTACGAATTAGTATTAATTCACGTAATGAATCTCATCTTTCTTGATTTACTAGTTATATTTCACTGATCCATGATTCATTGGTGATCGAGAGAAAATTATTCCCATGGGAGAAGGCTCTTTTTCAGTTGTGTTAGTAACTTGAACTCGGAAAATGCATGAACTGTTGAAGTTGGTAGTGGTTGCATTAAAACTAACTGAAACATAGAAGTGGTGTCTAATCTCATTTGTTCAATTGCGGATTTTCATGATTTCGAGTATAGATGCATCAACACGTCGCCTTAACAATTTTTCACTAAACAATTTTTTCTTTTTTTTTTGAGTTACGTAGGCAACTTGATACTACCCAGAATTTTTTTTTTTTTTAAAACCAAGAATACGAAATTAAAAATTTTTCAATTCACTATAGTTTTTCTTATTTCTAATTTTCTATAGAGGATAAAACTAGGAATTAAACAATTTTTATATAGATTTACCGCTAAGAAAATCTTACAAATAGAAATTCATCTCATTAAAATGAGTTTCTGTTTACACTTTACAAAATAAAAGCAACTCCTTTTTCAAATAAATCCGTGGTTGCAAAACTCATCTACCTCCCTTAATCGCCACGCCGGGAGAACATTAATGGGAGATATAACAAGACTTCAATTAGTGATCTCCACGTTTGAATTGAAGATTTAATTGAAAAGGATATGAATTGTATAAGTGGTTGGATTTTTAACTAATTAAAAGACCTTCCAACAACTTCCCCTTTAATTCAAACAAGGCTACTCCACTTTCTGATTTGAAAGCAAGGGTTGCAAATGATGTCATAACGGAGCCCCCGCTTTTCCACTCGAGGACAAGAGATGATACCGGTGATGCTTTAGATTTTGAGGAAGTTGTGACATTTTTGAAGTTGAGGTACGGTGCCTATTTATGAGCAAGGATTACTTTTCCATCTACGGCGAATCGAGTAATTGTGCCAGATCAAATAGATGCCTTAATCGTACAATAGCTTATCTAGGAGTTGGTTTTGTTGTCTTCGAAAGTACTATGAAACTATCTTGACAATCTCTTCTATAAGATAGAGCTCATGTCAATCGAATGGAAAAAGTCCGATCCTCTATCTTTTGCTTTGAATAGATCTCAAGGGTAAAGTACTCATACCGAACATGACTAGAAAGATGCAGGCACTTCAGGCCAGTCATATTGGTTCTAGA